ATATTATACTAGGATATATCCACACCTCTACACTAATATATTATACTAGGATATATCCACACCTCTACACTAATAAATTATACTAGGATATATCCACACCTCTACACTAATATATTATACTAGGATATATCCACACCTCTACACTAATAAATTATACTAGGATATATCCACACCTCTACACTAATATATTATACTAGGATATATCCACACCTCTACACTAATAAATTATACTAGGATATATCCACACCTCTACACTAATATATTATACTAGGATTTTGGGATGCTTTGAGACCCTTTCTAGTAAAACTTTAAGTTTTAAAACGTTGCTTTTTAAAAGTCGCAATTTTTCATCGTACTCTACAATAATAAAATAAAAAATTGAGTTTTTGCCACAAACTCAAATATTCGAATTCCTTTATTATTGCAACCTGATGGTGTAAACCATTGATAAAAGTAAAACTTTTTGATCTAACAGTATAAAGTCGGCTTTTTTCAAGGTAAATCTTTAAATTTTTCTCCGCAATAAACCTTCCCTAGGTCATTTGAGTGGCCACCAAAAATTGGGTCATTTTGATGATCATGGGATAAAGAGAACCAGACACGACAAACTTAAAGATAAAATATCCCGCATTCATCTTAAAGCAGATTTTATTTAATGAAAGTATTACAGAGTGGTGAGCATATAAAAACTAAGAATGCTATATCTGTTGGTGAACACTTTGAGATGAACTAAAATAAAGTAAATGGCACACAATATATGTATTGTATGTAAGTGGTATATTTATGCGTAGAGAAGTATTTTACATAAAGGTTTATGTATAAAATTGAATGAATTATTGACGCAATGTTTTCTTGAAACAATCGGACACGCCTTCCTTTCATTCTTTATTTCCAGCCCGCCCATCTTCTCTATCTATCTTTTCTATCTATCTATCTATCTATCTATCTATCTATCTATCTATCTATCTATCTATCTATCTATCTATCTATCTATCTATCTATCTA